AACCTGGAGATAAGCTGTCATTCCTGGGGGTCCCCAGGTCCCACCTGGAGGTTGGCAACCCTACCCCTGAGAAACTAGTAAAGGTAAAGGTTCCCTTGCTCGAAAGCCAGTCGAATCCGACTCTAGGGTTGCGGTGCTCATCTCCGTTTCAAAGCCGAAGAGCCAGCGTTGTCCGAAGACGTTTCCGTGGTCATGTGGCCGGCATGACTAAACACCAAGGCGCACGGAACGCTGTTACCTTCCCACCGAAGTGGTACCTATTTACTTGCAATTTCTTGCTTTCGAACTGCTAGGTTGGCAGGAGCTGGAGCTAGAGACGGGAGCTCACTCTGTCATGCGGCACCCGGGTCTCGAACTGCTGAACTACTGACCTTCCACAGCCTGCAGTTCAGCGTCTTAACCACTTGAGCCACCGCAGCTCCTACAGCCTGGCAAAATGTATATGGCATTCGGGGCTGAAAGACTCCGGCTTCTAGGCAGGATCCGGCTCTGCCGTTTTCAAAACGAAGCCCTGGCGTTCAGCTTTCCGTGCTGAGATGGCCGCTCCTAATGTCTCCCCCCAAGTAGGTGCTCTCAGGCAAGGTAGGGCTATATGTGTGGGCAGTCCTTTGCCTTGGGTCACTAATTGCATGGAAACAAAGTGGACCGTGGGAGGCATGTGAGAACGGCTAGGCTAGGACCACCCCCCGGCACGTGTGCCTCTCACAGCAAGCAAGAGCATTTTGTTTAGGCAGGGCTCCTTTTGTAGAAAAAGCCCAGCAGGAACTCATTAGCATAATAGGCCACACAGCAGGAACTCATTAGCATATTGGGCCACACCCCGACAGCACAGCTTATTACCACATTAGGCCGCACCCCCATGTTACCAGAAATGTGGTCATCCAGCCACACCCACCTTTTGCTTCTTATTCTGTTTACCTTGTTTGTTGCCAAAACCCAGGGCTTTTTTGTAGCAGGAACTCCTTTGCATGTTAGACCACATACCCCTAATGTAGCCAATCCTAATGAGTTCCTGCTGTTGGGCGTGGCCTGTTATGCTAATGAGTTCCTGCTGGGCGTGGCCAACTTGGGAGCCAGCCGGAACTCCGTTCCTGTGCGTTCCTGCCCAAAAATAGCCCTGTGTTTAGGGAATGAGGTGCCAAGGGGCTGAGGCAAGCCCCTGAGGTGGGAGCAGAGCGGCTGGGACTCAGTTCCTTCCCAGTGTGCCTGGCCCAGTATAACATGGTCTCCCCTCCCCCATTTCCTGGCGCACCAACGTCTTTACACATAGTGGAAGATTTGTGGCACTCGGGCCCAGAAAGGTGCCTATTTATTTACTTATTTAGATATTTATACCTTGCTTTTCTCCACAACAGGGACTTGAGGCAGCTTACGTGCCTTGGCGGAGAGGGCGGGGTATAAAACAAACGAACAAACAAATAAATAAATTCCACCCTCCTCTCGTTTGCCCTCCAAACCACCACTGGAAGTGGTTAAGAGCAACGGAATCTAAACTGGAGAACTGGGTTCGATTCCACACTCTTCCACATGAAGCCAGCTGGGTGACCTTGGGTCAGTCACAGCTCTCTCAGAGCTCTCTCAGCCCCAAAAATGAGTACCTTGCCACTTAGTGGTGCATAATGCTAAAAGAGCTAGGACTCAAAGCTGCCAGACCATCTTAGGATCTCCTGGCTATACTACACGCAATGCCATACTATAATTATTAATGATTACAACACCACTCTGTGAGGTAAGTTAGGCTGAGTGAGAGAGTCCCAAAAGCACCCAGAGAGCTTCCATGGCAGAGACTGGATTCAAACCTGCGTCTCCAAGATTACAGTCCTATGTTCTAACCACTTATACCACACTGGCACTAACCCTGAGGAAAGAGATGATGCCACTCACTGTGACAGTTGGAGTCCCCCAAGAACTCTCGACACTTGAACTCGGGCCAGAGATTAAAGTTCCCCTGCCTTCTTGGATAAAATGAGGAGAGCCATTTTCTGTGGCTGCTTTGTGGGGGGGAGGTCAAGCCTTCCTCTTTGCTCACTGGCAAGTAAACAAGTAGGTTGATGGAGGTAACACAACATTCCAACTCTGTCACCAATACTTTGAAGTTTAGTTAGCTGGGCACGCATCAAAACTGCATCCCAGGAGAGCCAGTTTGGTGTAGTGGTTAAGTGTGCGGACTCTAATCTGGAAGAGCCGGGTTTGATTCCCCACTCCTCCACTCGCACCTGGCTTGGATGACCTTGGGCAAGCCGTAGTTCTGATAAGAGCTGTTCTTGAAAAAAGAGCAGTTTCTGTCAAGAGCTCTCTCAGCCCCACCTACCTCCCAGGGTGTCTGTTGTGGGGAGGGGGAGGGAAAGGAGTTTGTAAACCACTCTGAGACACCTTTGGGTAGTGAAGGGCGGGGTATAAATCCAATCTCTTCTCCTTCTGTTGCTATGAGCCCAAATTCAGAAGGAATTACAAATGTGTCCGTTGATCGTGTTTTCTTCAGTCCCTGGACTGATGTGTACCTTGCTCTTCTCCTGGGGACGTCTGAGCAGCAGGGTTGCCAACTCTGGGTTGGGACATTCCTGGAGATCTGAGGGGCAAAGCTTTCAGAGGCCGGGGTTTGGGGAGGGAAAGGACCTCAGTGGCTATAATGCCCTAAAGTCCATGCTCCAAAACAGCCATTTTCTCCAGGGGAACTGATCTCTGTTGCTTGGAGTCCAGTTGTAATTCTCGGAGATCTCCAGATAGGGATACCAGCCTCCAGATGGGACCTGAGGATAGGGTTGCCAACTTCCAGGTGGCACAATAAAAAATCCAAAACCATGAAGTTATAACGATGACAAACTTCAATATTAACACATTTCTTATTTATCATAAATATCATGCATATATGTCCACAATAATACCAATAACCCGTTCTCAAATCACAATAGTATCAATAGTCCATTCTCAAATAGATGATAAATGAAAGTGCTTGTAAATGTCCTTCAGCAAATCAAAGTCCTTGTGCTATGGTAAATCCAATGACTATGGATAATATATGGATGTTCCTGTACAGCCCCTGACGGACCTGTCGACCTTTGATTCTGTTTCTTCCCAGCTTTCTCAAAAGAGGCAACAGAACGAAATCCATATAGAGAGCCAGTTTGGTGTAGTGGTTAAGTGTGCGGACTCTAATCTGGGAGAACCGGGTTTGATTCCCCACTCCTCCACTTGCACCTGGTGATGTGACCTTGGGCAAGCCTAGTTCTGATAACAGCTGTCCTTGAAAAAGAGCAGTTCCTGTCAAGAGCTCTCTCAGCCCCACCCACCTCACAGGGTGTCTGTTGTGGGGAGGGGGAGGGAGAGGAGATTGTAAGCCACTTTCAGACAACCTTTGGGTAGTGAAGGGCAGGGTATAAATCCAATCTCTTCTTCTTCTTCTGTCCAAAATATCATTCAAAGAGAGACAATGATTCAAGAAGCACAATCTTTCAGAAGGAAGAGTTTCCTTCACAGTTTTGGATTCTTCATTGTATCTTGTTTCTGTGGATCTTTCTGGATTGTAACCTCCAGGTGATGGCTGGAGACAGAGGTTGATTCGGGGGGGATCGCGGGGAATAGCAGTTCCCCCAGGTGGGGGGTGGGGCACACGACGAAGCCCCACCCCCTGCTTCCGGCCGCCCCGCTTCCGGCCCTCATTCAGCCAGGAGGAGGCAGGAGAAGAGGGAGGGTAAGTTGGTTCCTCCCCACCTCTCCCCACCCCTGCCTGCCTGGGGCCAGGGAGGGCCTTGGCGGGGCTTCCTTGCACTCCCGCTGGCCTTGCAGGTCCACCGCCGGGCCCCTGATGTCAGGGTGTGTGTCATATGCTAATGAGTTATGCTAATGAGTTCCCCTAGCTCTTTTTCTACGAAATGACCCCTGGCTGGAGTCCTCCCACTATTGCAACTGATCTCCAGGCAACGGAGATAAATTCATCTGGAGAAAATGGCTGCTTTGGAAGGTGGACTCTATGGCATTATTCCCCATTGAAATCCCTCCCTTCCCCAAGCCCCGCCCTCCTCAGACTCCACCCCCAAAATCTCCACCTATTTCCCAACCCGGAGCTGGCAACCCTAGCTGGAGGGTAGACTCTATGGCATTGTATCCTACTGAGGTCCCATCCCTAAATCTGTAGGAGTTCCCCAACCTGGATATGGCAACCCTACTCCCCCACCTCCCACCAATGACTGGGGGGGGGGGCTAGCAACCCTATCTCCAGGCCCCACCTGGAGGTTGGCAACCCTAAACAGCACTCATGCCCCCCTTTCACATTTTCTCCTTCAAAAGCCCTTTAAAGTACATTAGGCTGAAGTATAGTGACTGGAGCAACATCACCTATTGAGCTGATTGGCTGAGTGAGTTCAATATTCGAGCCATTGCACTATGCCAGTGGTGGCGAACCTATGGCACGGGTGCCAGAGGTGGCACTCAGAGCCCTCTCTGTGGGCACACGTGCCATCGCCCCAGCCAGGCCCAGACCATCATTAAAGTGTCGAATTCTCTGCCAAATAATTTTAAGTAAATGAAAGCATTTGGGATTGCTTTCCTTACTTTGTTTGGGTCATCTTAAGTTAATGTATGAGTCGTTTTTTCTAAAGTGAAACCTCAGTATTCAGGTTAAATTGCCGTGTTGGCACTTTGCGATAAATAAGTGGGTTTTGGGTCGCAGTTTGGGCACGCGGTCTCTAAAAGGCTCGCCATCACTGCCCTATGCCGTCTCTCCGAGAGGTGTGCTAGTTTTTGCAGGAGGCATACCGCTCAGCGGGACTGCCCACTCTTCGAAAAACAGGGTTTCGTTTCAGAGCGATTGATAAAGCAGACAATTTAGCAGTGGCTGTGTGTTTGACATTGGGAAGAGTCAATATGGAAAATACGTGATAATGCGGTCTTCTACTCTTGCTGGCTAAAACTGATTCTTTGGTGTGCGCCTTATGGCTTCTTCACTAACAACCTCTCTCTGCTTTCTCTCCCTCCTTTTGTCTTTCATTCCTCTCCCTCAGGACTCCAGGATTCTGGCCCCCACACCTCTCCCCCGCCGTACAATGCTCCTTCACAGCCCCCTCCCCCGCCCTCCCCCTTCCTCCGCCACCCTCCCACGTCCGCCTCGCCACCATTCGGCCACCCTGCCCCGCCTCCCTCCCGACCCTTACATGCAGGAGACTCAGTTCAATGGCGCACCCCAGGGCTACGTCGTTCAAACACACGCACCGGTCGGGACCTTGCCTATCGGAGGCTATATGCACCCGGGGTATCCTGTCCAGCTACAGCCCTGCACGGCATACGTACCCGTCTACCCCGTTGGGGCGGTGAGTGTCTCTGGGGAATTTGCTTTCAGAGGGGAGCATCCTTCTGTGGGGAGGCGGTTTCCGTGGCTTAAACGCCCATGGGGTGTTATCCCATCTTCTGTGATTTGAAATAATTCCTTCCCCTAGAGCCCAGTCAAAATTCTCTTCTCCTTTTGCTGTCCCAAAGAAGCAGTTTTCTGAGCTTCTCCCACCGAGGAGTTCAGCAGCGCAGCAAACATAGTTCTCCCTCGCTGCATTTTATCCTCACAACAGGCCTGTGAGGCTTAGCACATGTGACTGGCTCAGAGTCACCCTATGGTTTCATGAAAGAGGGTGGATTTGAACCCAGGTCTCTCTAGTTCTAGTCTTCCCAGTATACCACACTGGACTGATCTATTTTGTTCGTTCAGTCGTTCGTTTGTTCCCATTTTTCTCCTCATTGGGACTCAAAGTGGCTTCTAGAACATTGCTCTCTCCTCCTCCATTTTCACACAACAGCCCTGTGAGGTAGGCCAGGCTGAGAGCTTTGTGATGGGCCCAAGGTTACACAACAAGCTTCCATGGGGGAAGTGGGAATTTGAACCTGGATTATCCAGGGGCCTAGTCTGCCAGTCTATTCACTATACCACCCTGGCTTTTGACAATGACAGTCAGGAAATCCCAAGAAGCTTGTTAGGGTTTCCATGAACAGATCTGTAATGATGGACAATCTACCTTGGTTATCAGTGGACCTGTCAGTATCAGTCGTCTCTGTCATTTTGTGGCCACCATGTAGGGTTGCCAAGTCGGATTGGCGCTGGAGCAAGGGACTCCAGTGCTGCTCCGGGAGTGCATGCGTGTGTGCTTTGCGCGCACGCGCCGCAACCCCGTCGCCCGGAAGTGACGCGACCACACCGGGCACGCTGGGGGCGGGGCCACGACCATCCGAGGTAAAACCATAGAGTTTTCCCTCAGATGACCGTGGCCCCGCCCCCAACACGCCCGACGCAATCGCATCACCTCTGGGCGACATGCACGTCACGTGCTTTGGTGGTGGGGTTCCCCCCGGGGCCCGATCCACCGGCGGCGGGTAACGGGCCTCTGGGGCGGGGGTTTCCCCACCCCCCGGGGGACTTGGCAAGCCTACCACCATGGGTGCATTGGGAGCATTCTAGGTGCACTCTCAGAACACTCACGGTGATGGAGAAGTCCAGCAAGCTTGGCTCCTGCCCCAGGGCCTCTGGTCAGCAACTAATTTGTCTAGCAGGGAGCCATATTTTTATCTGAAAGACTGGCAACATCGGCTGGGTGCTTATTGGCCCATTACCCTACAAGGAGAGAGAAAAGCAAAGGCCTCTTTCTCTCTGTGTCTCATAAGGGCAGCAACAGCGGCTTTTGGCCTTGACAGCTTCTCTAACAGAAGCCCAGCTGCTGTTCCCATTTAGTGGGGAGGCAACTAGAGGCCTTTGCTTGTATCCCGGACTGAGCCACCGAAGCACATAATGCAGGGAGGGCTCTGCCAAAGCCTCCGCTCACCAGGGGGAGGAGAGGGTTAAAGAGCCCTTTGTGTGTGCAAGAAAATCCTTTGGAAGTTCATAGGGAAAGGTTAGGACTTGGATCTGTGTGCCACAGGCCGGATGAGAAGCCCCTCAGGGACAGACTGAGCCCCAAGACGGCCTATCTTCCTGAATGACCTGTGACCAGTCACAATTCCCTCAGAACTCTCTCAGCCCCACCTACCTCAAAAGGTGTCCATTGTGGGGAGGGGAAGAGAATGCTATTGAAAGCCACTTTGAGACTCCTTAAGGTTGAGAAAAGCAGGCTATAAAAACCAATTATGCCGCACTGACTTTTGACCAGGGAATTCCTTTCTCTGTGGATTGGGTTTTGGATCCCCAAGAAAGAGTCCTTTCTCTTCTGTTCTCTGTGATCAGCTGAGATTCCTCTCTGATTGTGGGGAGGGCTTTTGAAAAATATCCTTTTCCTCTGTTGAGGGCAGTTTGAAGCAAGTTGACGATATCTGCAAAGCCAAGCGGGTAACACTTTTAGTAAACAAAATCATTCCCTGTATCAGGGCGCTTTTTTTTTTCAGAAAAAGAGGTGCCAGAACTCTCAAGAAGGAAATGAAGTTTTCAGTCTGTATACTGAAAAGTCATGGACTTTAAAATTTTTAAAAAGAATTTCGTTGAAGAGGTTTTGGAACTATTTCGGTGCATTCCCCCGGAAAAAAAAAAGCCCTGCATTGTATATAGAAAGGCAGCATGTCTAGAAAGCGAAGCTGAACTTTTCTTTCTGACAAGAACGTTCTTTCTGAAGGGTCATTCTCACCCTCATAATGTTACCCTCCCATCGTTGCAGCCTGCAATGGTACAGTCCAGGGAAAGCTTTGCCACTTGATTCTGCCGATCATACAGACTGGCCCTTTGAGTATGAGATTTTTCCGTCTAGCACTGGGAAGGTTCTTCAGTGTATTTTGCTCCTCTCTTTCCTAGAGGGTGCTACTCTCTTTGAGATGAGAGTCGTCCCTTCTTCTTGTGGGTGGGTCTTTTCTGTGCTTTAGAATTCCCTGGTCGATCTTCTTATTCAGCAGAATCTCATGGGAGAGGTCTTTTGGGATTTTTTTTTCTACTTATGGTGTGAGAACATTTGAGAATGTGATTCCCCAGTCCCCACCTGCAGTCTGAAGTGGTACAGTCCGGGAAGGGCTCGTCCATAGGACTGCGCTGAATATCAAGCTCGTCTCTGAATCTCTGGAGCCATGTAAACTGGAGAGCTCCTCCTATTGTGACCCCAGTTTTCTGTGTCTTGCCCCCAGTCATACTCCCAGGGCAACCCTCCTCCACCACCGGCTATGTCTCCAACACAGGTGTCCCCTGGCATTGCCATCCTGGAACCACGTCGCCCGCCGCACGATTACCTTCCCATTGCTGTCCTCACCACCATCTGCTGCTTCTGGCCCACGGGCATCATTGCCATAATCAAGGCTATCCAGGTGAGCATCAGGGAAGAAGGGGGGGGGGGGCTCGCCACGGGCTTTGTTCCTGACAGATCTTCAGGGATTGCCTGTGCGTCCTCAACAAGTACGTTGGGAAGCAAAGTGATAAATGCGGGTGTGTTTTGCATGCAGGAGGCTTCCGTTTTGGTCCTGTCTGCATGATTTCCATGCGCCTTCTCTGGCTGCTGTGTGAGTGACAGATGACAGAAGGAAAATGGTGCCAATCTGGGCAGGACATCTGCAAACATACACATCTTCTTCCCATCCACACAGCATTCCAAAAGAGTGTACCAAACCATGTTTGGGGAGGTGGTGGAAAACACAGAACATTGATGATGTGGGGGTGATGATGTCACATTGATGCAATCCCCCCTCCCAAATCCAGTTTAGATGTGAAATGGGAACAAAATTTCCATGTCCCTGGCATCCTGTGTAGAGGATGGGGTGGATATGTCCTCGGTTGCGTTGGATGACAGGATGAATGGCTATAAACCACAGCAAAGGAGGTTTCAGTTAAATTTGAAGAAGCATTTCCCGACAGTGCAGCAAGTTTGACACTGGAACAGTCTAACTCGTGTGGTGGTGGATTCTTTGTTGTTGGAAGTTCTTAAGAATCAGTTGGATACCTACTTGTTAGGGATATTAATTATGGGTGCCAGCCTCCAGGTGGGACCTGGAGATCCCCTGGAATTACAGCTCATCTCCAGATGACAGAGATCAGTTCCCCTGGAGAAAATGGGTGCTTTGGAGGGTGGACTGTATGGCATTGTAGCCCACTGAGTTCCCTCTCCTCCCCAGGCTCCATCCCGAAATCCCCAGGAGCAGGGGTCGTTTCATAGAAAAAGAGCTAGGGGAACTCATTAGCATAACTCATTAGCATATGCCACACCCCCTGACATCACCGGAAGTGTGACATAAATACTTGCAGAGTCAACCCTGCTTAGCTTCCAAGATCTGCAGTTCTTGAGCTGATGGGGACCTCTGGACAACCTGGACAGGTGGCACGCTAGTCTTAGTGGACTATACCTCCCCTCAAAAAAACCAGTACTTTAAAAAAAGTATGATGGACAATGAGGGGCCCGGCAGTGGACCTGCAAGGCCGGCGGGAGTGCAAGGAAGCCCCGCAAAGGCCCTCCCTGGCCCCAGGCAGGCAGGGGTGGGGAGAGGCAGGGAGGAAGCAACTTACCCTCCCTCTTCTCCTGCCTCCTCCTGGCTGAATGAGGGCCGGAAGCGGGGCGGCCGGAAGCAGGGGGCGGGACTTCCCCTGCGATCCCCCGCGATCCCCCCCGAATCTACCTCTGTCCAGGATTTTCCCCAGCCTGGAGCTGGCAACCCTGTCCCCCATTCCCCAACAGTGGCCAGTTACACTTATAGTCCCAGCGCTGGCAGGGGGTTGAACTAGATGACTCTGGCGGTCCCAACGCTGAGATTAAATAAAATAAAAGTAAGTCTCTAGTTAAGGTTTTAAAGGAGGGGCCCTGGCTCTATGGGATAGAGAACCTGCTTTATGTAGCTGGACTCCTGGCATCTCCAGTTCGAGAATCTCATGTAGCCAATGCTGGAAATAACCTGAAGAATCACTGACATTGAGCATAATGAGCTCAGCGGACCAATAGAACCTCAGTACAAGGCAGTTTTATATAAGGTACTCTATGTTTCTGGTTCCTAAAGGGTCACTTGACTAGTCATAAAGAAGGGCCTGATCCCCAAAATAGACTGCCACTGCCCCCCCCTACCTGTCACCTCCCAGTTGTCAAGTGCAGGCCAAATGGGACACTTGAAAGGGCCCCCAGATCTGCCAGAGGGGCTGCCAGTGGCCAACCTCTACAGCAGGGGTGTCGAACTCATTTGTTATGAGGCTCGGACTTGACATAAATGAGACCTTGTTGGGCCACGCCACGTGTGCCATAAAATGTAATTCCAGGTAGCGGAGATATAAACTTTATAAAGGGCACAAACACAGAGGGTGTTTTTTTTTAACTTAAAATAAAAACATGCTTAAAACATTAGCACTCTTGCAATATTTTGTTTATTTAACAGTGTCTGATAACTGACACCTCTTGCTCTGAATTATTGCATCAAAATGTCTGTGCTGTTGCGTATGCTGTTCTGGTGTGTATCTGTAAGCTGCAAACCTACGATGACGCAGCGGCAGCAGCAGAACTGGAAGAAGAAGCAGAAGACAGCCAGTTCCACTGCGGGCCTGATAGAAGCCCTCCGGGGGCCTGATCCGGCCCCCGGGCCGCATGTTTGACACCCCTGCTCTACAGGGTGTTGTTTAATAAAAGTGCCTTGCATGCACCTTTCATTCCACTGAAGGCCCATAGTGGTGGCAGTGGATAGGAATACTATTTGGTAATGTTGGCAAAAGAGTTGCTGACGACGGTTGCCAACCTCCAGGTGGGGCAGAATTACCGGGTCCCTCCTGGCAACCAGCAGTGGAGGGGAGCCCTTCCTGGGAGCAGCAGGAAGGTTCATTCGCCCTACAGTGACATGCCTACTTCACTGCCCACGTGACCCATAAGTGACGTCGTCATGTCCAGGATGTTGAGGCAACAGTCTGGTATTTGGGCAAACACTCTATGATTCATTTGGCTTCTACCATAGAGCTTTTGCCCAAATACCAGAGCATTGCCCCAATGTCCCGGATGTGATCACATCACTTCCGGCACTGCAGCACATTGGATGGATCTCCCCAGGGCTTTTTTTGTAGAAAAAGCCCAGCAGAAACTCATTAGCATAATAGGCCACACCCAACATAAAAACCATTTGCATATTAGGCCACACCCTGACAGCACCGCTCATTAGCATATTAGGCCACACCCCCATGTTACCAGAAGTGTGGTCATCCAGCCACACCCACCTCTTGCTTCTTATTCTGTTTACCTTGTTTGTTGTCAAGACCCAGGGCTTTTTTTGTAGCAGGAACTCCTTTGCCTGTTAGGCCACACACCCCTAATGTAGCCAATCCTAATGAGTTTCTGCTGTTGGGTGTGGCCTATTATGCTAATGAGTTCCTGCTGGGCGTGGCCAACTCAGGAGCCAGCCAGAACTCCGTTCCTGTGCGTTCCTGCCCAAAAATAGCCCTGGATCTCAGGGAAAGCACACCCCCCACCAGCCAGCTGATTGGTGGAGGCAAGGTAGGGCCTGTCAGTGGGGTACCCCCGCCTCCACCGGGTGGTGGTGGTCTGGCAACCCTAAGGTGGGAGCTGGCAATCCCCTGGGATTACAACTGCTCTCCAGACAATAAGAGGTTGGCAAGTCTAGTTGAGAGCCGGGGCTTGAAAAGGGATGCCCGCCTCCAGGTGGGACCTGGAGATCCCCTGGAATTGCAGCTCATCTCCAGACAGCAGAGATCAGCTCCCCTGGAGAACATGGATGCTTTGGAGGGTGGACTCTATGGCACTGAACCCCACTGAGGTCCCTGTCCTCCCCAGGCTCCATCCCCAAATGTCCAGGAATATTCCAACCTGGAAATGGCAACCCTGTCCCCCTACCAGAGGCCAAGGGAGACCTGGCTCCCTTACGTTTGACTGTGGTGGCATCTGACATCTCTTTTGTTGTTGAGTGTTTTGTCAAGACCATCCTAGAAACCTTCAGGATGTTCTGGATAAGAAACCACCCCTTTCCAGACAGAGCAACGTCTTGGAACGCTTAAGGAATATACGGAGAAAAGGAAACAGCTCAAACTCTGCCGAAACATATGCCGAGTGCACTCCCTGTTCGTGTCTGGCTGGCACCCCTCACCTCCCACACATGTACACATTCTGTACTCTGGAGCTGATCACTTCATTCCGTGTTCTGAAAAGAAGCCAGTGCTTTGAGGAGGCTGGTGGCCATTTTGTGGGGCCGGCCTGCCTGTCGGTTTCTGCCTCTGGCAGAGGTGCTGAGAGGCCGTCTCTGCCTGTTGGCCCAACAGACTAATAACTTTGATAATTTAAACCTGCCAGTTGGACAGCCGTCAAGAAGGATGCCCACTCAGCAAGTCCTACTTAGAGTGAGGATAATGTTTGGAAGGTGCAGTGATCTTATCTTGGAGGGTGGCCAGGGGAAGTGGTCTCTGAGGGCATATCTACGCTTCAGAATTAAACTGGTTTAATAATCCACCCCGCAACTGGGAACCTTGGAAACTGTAATTCCATGGGGATGGTGTGCTGACCAAACCACAGTCCTCTATATTTGTTTAATCTGTATCTATTGCCCTGTTGCTTCAAGTCCTTCTTTCTTGTCCTGTGTTCAACAGAGCTTCTCTCGTCCATTTTCTGCTGAGTAACAGTTAGATCCAAGTTGATGTACAGAAAATAATCCTGTCTGAGTGTGTGTGTTTCCCCAGCCCAGTTTGAGAAAACACTCAGTACAATCCTGTAGAGCAGAATCAGATCTTGAACTTTATTGATCAACAAAGGAGGGAGGTGCAGATCCAATAAGGTTTTGGACCCTACAGCTCTCCCTAAGGTTACAATGGGAGACATAAAGTTTTATACTCCCTATGACAGAAATAAATCATAATTATTGGTTCCATCAAACGTTGTCATATATCGGTCATTCTGATTGGGCCCAGGCCTGTAGGTTGGACTTTCTCAGGCAAAAATATACCTCCTTCAGTTGAACAATGGGCCTTCTTCTTCCCAGGCTATGAAGTGATAAAAAGTATCTAATGTAACAGATATGGGTACATCGTGTAGTATGGTTTCCATCTAACGCAAGCTTCCTGACATCAGGGACATGCGCAATTGCAACTGGCCATTATAAGCAAGGTCATAAGCAGTCAGTTACTGCCTGTCAGCATTTAGTATTTTTCCCAGAATGCATTTAAGCAATGAACTAAAGTGAATATCTGAATATATGTTAATAATTGATTTCTGCTTCTGTAATTAGAATCATCAATGGCACTTAACATATCTGTGTGGCTGTGTATGTCAAAGGTGCTAAGTGAGTCCACTAAGTTTAGCCTACTAAGTCAGACAGAGTGCTGAGTGCATAACAGGGTTTCATAAACTGTGCGTATAACAAAGTCCAGTAGCATCTTAGAGACCAACAAGATTTTGGGAGTATGACCTTTCGAGAGTTAAAGCTCCCTTTGTCAGGTCTAGGGTTGCCAAGTCGGGTGTTGCACCGCAGCGGAGGACTCCCGGCTGGTGTTTGGTTCGCGCGTGCGCGCGCCACACACACATCACCCAGAAGTGACGTGACGACGCCAGGCACGCTGGGGGCGGGGCCACAACCATCCGAGGGAAAACCATAGAGTTTTCCCTCAGAAGACCGTGGCCCCGCCCCCAGCGTGCCCGGTGTCGTCACGTCACTTCCAGGTGACATGCATGTCGGGGTGGGGCTCCCCCCAGGGCCTGATCCGCCGGCAGCGGGGAACGGGCCTCTGGGGCGGGGGTTTCCCTGCCCCCGGGGGGACTTGGCAAGCCTAGTCAGGTCTTACCTCGAAAATCTTGTTTTTCTCTAAGGTGTTACTGGACTTGGACCTAGTCGTTCTATTGCAGACCAACATGGCTATGCTGTTCTTCAAAATATTTTGAAGATACTTACCACCACAACATACTTCCATGTTGTTATAGGTTAAATTATCCATAGCTGACTGACTTGTGGCCGCAGAACCAGATGAAATGTTTGCTGGCAATACTACTTTAGTTGGGGAAGGTGTCTCAATTTTGAACATTAAAATTAGAAAAAACAATCCTTGATATCTAGAAGACTGGCATGTAGGGTTGCCAGACCCCCACTGGGGGGGAACCCCTGCTTTTGTGGGGTGCTTCCCCTATGCTGGCCAGCTGACGGGTGGGAAGAAATCCCACCCCCAACTGGCCCAAAGGCGACGTGATGTTGTCTTCACATCGCCGACATCAAACAATGATATGCTAGTTAATGAACCCTATTTAAAACAGATTTTGATGCTCAGCAAATTATACAATCTGTATAGATTCTAAAATTTCTAAAAGCAAGATGACTATCCCTGACCATCCCGTTCTTGCCCATAGTGCAGCGACTAGATGTGCATGCCCCATCTTGATGTCCATATATGGGGGATAGAGGGTAGCTAGTGCGATGGTAGTGCACTAGTGCACTAGTGGTGGACTGCCGGTGGATGGTGCATGGCAAGGAGACATTTGGATTGAAACCCTTTCCTCTGACTTGTTAGTTTTCTGTATGCAGGAAAGTTCATTCTTATTTATTCAATTTTTAATCCCACCCTTCCTCAAAGGAACTCCTGGAAGTATATGAGGTTCCTTGCCATTGCCTCTAATTATCTTCACAGCAATCCTGTGATATAGGTTAGGTTGAGAAATAGTGATTGGTCCAAGGTCACCTAGTGAGTTTCACGGAACATGGGAGGTTGGACCCCTTCTCCTCCAAGTCTAACTCTGTTTACCCGCTGTGCTCTCTTTTCTGTGAGGAGGAGTAAGAGCAGAAGAAGAGCCCTGCTGGATCAGGTCAGTGGTCCATCTAGTCCAGCATCCTGTCCCACACAGTTACCAGCTACGTAGTTCCTGGGGTATTCAGTTATGGAGCCTTCCATAAGAACGTAAGAGCCCTGCTGAATCAGACAAGTGGTTCATCTAGTCCAGCACACGGTTTCACACAGAGGCCAACCAGTTGGCTGGGCAGGGCTGTGGCTCAGTGGAAGAACCTCTGCTTTGCCTGCAGGCCTTAGGTTCAATCCCTGGCACCTCCAGTGAAAAAGGATCAGGTGGTGGGTGATGTGAAAGGCCTCAGCCCAAGACCCTGGAGAGCCACTGCCAGACTGAGTAGACAATACTGTGACCTTGATGGACCAAGGGCCTGATTCATGAGGCAGCTCCATACGTGTACGTGTGTAACCAGTGGCCCTGGAGGACCAACAAATAAGCCATGGAGGCTGATGTCTTCTTCTGAGGTTGCCTCCTCGTACTGGCATTCGGAATTTTACTGCCTCTGAACATGGTGGTTCCCTTGAAGTCCATCCTTGGCGACTAGCCATGGTGGCTGTCCTCCCTCTGCTGCCTCGAGTGGTGCAGTCCAGCAAGAGCTACACCATTCAATCCTGCTGATCGCGTAGCTCAGCTCCCAGGTTCTGTTTACATGTGTACTATGGGTATATTGTGCAGAGCGTGCAAAACAGCACAGTGGCTTCACCGAATAGTTCTTCTGACCCACCCATCCCCAACGCTGTAATTTCTCTCTCTCAGGTGCGAACTGCGGTCGCTCGCGGCGACATAGTCTCAGCAGAAATCGCCTCGCGGGAGGCCCGCAACTTCTCCTTCATCAGCCTGGCGGTGGGCATCGCCGCCATGGTCCTGTGCACCATCCTCACCGTGGTGATCATCATCGCCGCCCAGCACCAAGATAATGACTGGGACCCCTAGCGACCGATCAAGGTGTTCTTCTTCGGCCTACTCCCGTACCACCCCGGCAACTGGTGACAACAACCCCAAAATCCCTGTCAACCATCGCTCCCAGTGATGGTCCTTGGCAACCGTCCCCCCCTGCGGTCTTTAGCAACTGTCTCTTCCCCTGCGACGAATTACTTGGGAAACGCTTGGCAACGGTCTCCTGCACAGTCCTTGGCTACCGTTGCCGTAGTGAATGGCACATTAACTCAGCAACTGACTTCCAGACAACTGCGGTCAGACCGAATCCTGACCCACCCCCACCCCAGGGTGCTGCTCTCTTAGGGCCCTAGCGACAAACTTTCCCTCCTGCTGGTTCTTTACCAGAATGTTTTTGCTAGCTTCTTTCCTACCCAAAAGGAGTAGGCTCCACTTTCCGCATCCACGGCTACCACCATCTTCCTCCTGCTGCATCTGCATGCACGGTGCCACTGACTTCCAGAAAAACAACAACACCCTGCTGCCTCAATCTCGGTTGAGTATCACCCCCTCTTTTCTCCATCCACTACTGTCCCCCCCCCCAGCTATTCGGCAAGTTTAAGAAGGCCTGCTCTCATGGGTTTGATCCTGCTGCCTGTGATTAGTGAGATGCAACCTGTAGTCAGGGCTATTTTGGGGCAGGAACGCACAGGAACGGAGTTCCGGCTGGCTTCCAAGTTGGCCACACCCAGCAGGAACACATTAGCATAATAGGCCACACCCAACAGCAGAAACTCATTAGGATTGGCTACATTCCTAAGCCCTGCCTGTAGTGATCTCCCAAAGGCATTGCTGTCCCCCCCCCCAAGTCCTAGACTTCGAAGCAATGCTCCCTCGAAGCTGTGGAGTCCGGTGAGCAAAAATTCTACTTTGTGACCTACTGGCATCAAGTTGTGAGCCAGCGATTTGCTCTGGAGCCGTCCTACCTGAGCTCAGGCAAAAATCTGTGAGCTGGAGGCTAAAAAAACTGTGAGCTAGCTCACACTAACTCAGCTGAGAGGGAACACTCCTTGGAAGGGGCATTATAGGTCACTGAGTCTTTGGAAATCACAAGCTCAAGTGTCCTCCATAGATTTTGAAGACCTCCAGCCAAGGGAGGGCCCCCTTCCTGAGAGAGCCAGTTTGGTGTAGTGGTTAAGTGTGCAGACTCTAATCTGGGCGAACTGGGTTTGACTCCCCACTCCTCCACTTGCACCTGCTGATGTGACCTTGGATCAGTCACAAGCTCTGGCACAGCTGTCCTTGAAAAAGAGCAGTTTGTGTCAGAGCTCTCTCAGCCCCACCCACCTCACAGGGTGTCTGTTGTGGGGAGGGGAAGGGAAAGGGAAAGGAGTTTGTAAACCGCTCTGAGACTCCAAGTGAAGGGCGGGGTATAAATCCAATCTCTTCTTCTTCCCGTATAACGGATTCCATGTAAATTTGCTCATACGACTAAGAATCCTGTAATGTTTTCATCTGGACCTCCACCTCTGTGGTAGGTGGAGCCACCCAACACGTGGATGTTTCGAGTCTCTGCCTCTTCTTAGTTTCGAATCCCCTCTCAGTCTTCCTGACTTTGTTTTAGATGATAGCAGCACAATCGCTTCCAAGGGCTGTCTGTCCCTAACCCTCACTTGGGGATTCAAGAGGATGGTTAAAACCACCATGGTGGAATCAGGAAGGGATAGCTTTCTCCTTTTTCTCCTGGCCAGTGAGGAGCCCCCATTCTGTACAGCTTTAAGGAATCTCCCTTCTGGTCCTGGGCACCTCTCACGACTCTTCCTTTGTAATTATCTTTCTTTCTTGAGTGGGGGGGGGGGAGAAGCAACACTGGTGAAAAGAACAAAGGAAGACATCTGTTTCCCTTTCTTCATCTCAGTGCTTTCTTGCCGTTTTTGTAAATGCTTGGGCTAAATGACAGATATTCCCGTAACTCATCCTGACGACAATCTGACAGAGCAGATTTATACCCTGCTAAGACATTTATACCCTGCTAAGTCCATTGCCCGGCCCGGCCCCGATCTTGTCAATTCTTGGAAGCTAAGCAAGGTCAGTCCTGGTTTCTACTTGGATTGGAGACCACCAAGGAACTTCAAAGTCACTACGCAGAGGCAGGCAGTGGCAAACCCACCTCTGTTAGTTTCTTGGCTAGAAAACCTGATGAGGGGTCGCCATAAATCGGCTGTAACTTGGTAGCAAATCCCCCCCCCAAAAAAAATTCAATTCAAGGGAATGGGCTTAAAAGGATGTAACTCTGCATAGAGATGAGCAACCTTCATCATTTTATTTCAATGAGAACCCCCCCCCCCCCACTGCCGGTGAACGCTCAGGGTGCTGTAGATGAAGCCACATTAAAACAACACATCAAACCTTTTTTAAAAAATGAGAAAAATGAGATGGGGTCTGGGAAAAAGATGTATTGGGGGAATCCACAGCAGTAGATTCTCTGCAAACACCCAGAGAACAAAAAGTAATCAGGCACGTTAAAAAAAAAAAAAATTACCTCAGGGGAGGAAGTGGGGCGCCCTGAGCTGCACCTACTGTCCACAACGAAAGTCAGATTTCCCATACTGACTCGGGGCATGTGTGGTGGTGGTGTCCCCGAGCAGCGGGTGTGTCTGACCAGAAGCAGATTCCAGGCGGAGAGTCCAGGTAAGTGAATTGTGCTGGGCCAGCTTAGCCTCTCACCGTTTCGGGCTGCCGTCATGGGAAAGTAACATTTTGGAATGCTTTTCTCCCATGTGAGCGGTGCCTTGCGTGTGTGTTTGGGAAGGGGAGCCGGGGGGGGGGGATCAGGTAGCAGGAGACATCACGCAATGTTCCCTCTAAGCTGTCGAGTCTTGTGAGCAAAAATTCTACTTTGTGAGCTCCTGGCATTAAAGTTGTGAGCCAGCAATTTGGCTACTGCATAAATTAGTTCGCTCTGAAGCCATCCTCCCTGAGCTGAGACTAAAATGTGTGAGCCGGAGGCTACAAAACTGTGAGCTAACTCACTATAACTCAGCTTAGAGGGAACACTGGACATCAGTACGATTTGGGTTCAGGTGGAAAGATTCCTGTCTGTTCCGTTTGATCGTTCCCAGTGCCTCTCCCCAAAAACTGCTGTGCCAAACCCACATTCTGTGACACAGAAAACAAACGTGTCCCCCCCCCCCCGGTTCTCTCCCCCATTTTTTTTCTTGGATGTTGGACTGTGATTATATTATTCTCTCTGTTGCAAGTGACATGGTTACAGAATCTCTTTCTCTATTATTATTACTTAATAAAGATACTTGATTCTCAGTATCGGCTGCCTTTTCGACACTCTTTGAACCACGTTGGCTGGTGGGAGTGGGGGGGGAGTGCCCTTTGAAATGGGGGGGGGCAAGTTTCTTCTAGAGGAGGCCAGTTCCATCACAGCATCACAGCGAGTCCCTCCTTCCTAGTTCCGCCTACCCGTGGTTTCTCTGTGGGTTTCCAGATGGTATGCGGGGGTACGCCAGAAGGTTCGGCATGCCTTTCCCCTGTTCACCTCACGACCACCTCCTCCTGCCATTATTCTTTCCCCCAGGTTTACCGTCCCCAATCTCTGCGTCCCTGGCACTGCAGTCTCTCCGGAGACGGTTGCCTGGATACAGCAAGAGGGGTATGTATGGATTCGAAGTGTGAGCCGCAGGCATGTGACAGCCCTAGGGAAGGGGGGGGGACACAGGCAAGGGAAACTGGAAAAACCCACAATAACAGCAGTAAAGGAGAGTGGCAGATTTTCAGTTACGGCTATTCAGAAACCACGGTGGCGCAAATCTCCCGCACCCCACCAGGGACATGCCAAGTCAGGGTCACTTCAAGGTTTCAGGTTAGGTGTACTCTGCTTTCCCACTGGAACAGTCTCCCAAGACACCCAAAATTCTTCCGCTAAACCTTTGCCTGACGTTGCTACTTTTTTTTTTGTATCCTAAACTCTGGCTTTCAAAAAAAAAAATTGGCTTTGATTTCCCTGTAAGTCATGAGAAGGGAAAAGGAGGAAAGGATGAGGTTTGGAAGAAAAAGTGGTCCGTCGGGCCTAAGAAAGGTAAGTGTAGGCAGGGCTGTGTACATGCCCCCCTCCCCCATTGCATAATAAAGTATCGTTCTCTGAACTGGGCAGGGTGGTACGGTCAGCTGAGGAAATCGCGTGGAACATTAAAGCCTCATCTCAGCTGAAGTCCTGCTCTCACCTCACAGGGTTGTTGTGCGGCCAAAATTATACAGAACATTAAAGCCTCAACTCCACTGAAGCCCTGCTCCTACCTCGCAGAGGTGTTGTGAGAAATAGAGGTGGGGAGATCTATATACAATTCTTGGAGTTTCCTGGAGGAAGGGTAGAACTTTTGGCAGCTGTCTAAATGTTCCCAAGGACTTCTTCACCCCTTTAAGAGACATTGCCTTAAAAAATGTACACCCAAATGTTAAAACTCTGCACTGAAATAAGGAAGGCTGTGATTTTTAGGAGAATTTTGCACGTAATTCCAAATGTCTTGCAATGCATGTGGGCAACCTACAGCACTACAATGTGCTGGGGGAGCACAAGGACCTGCCCCAGGCATTTGCCTCCCCCCCCCAAATCCTGTTATCTTCCTGCTCTTTGACTCTTGAGATTGCGCCTAAGTGGTTTTACAGCACAACCCCCCCCAGGCCTAGAACTTGCTTACACTTAAAAAATGGGGGGAAATTCTCGCGAAGTCAAATTCTAGGCCCAGGCACCCAATTCCAGGATTACAGAACAGTCCTTCCAGACAGAAACACACAGGATGGTGTGATGATGTGAAGAATGAAGGACTGAAACCAGGAAGCCTTGCCTTCAAATGTACCTCCCCCAGCCATGAAACTCACAGTAGGACTGTGGCACACTTAAGGTTCTCAGGTTCGAACCCAATTTGACATGGGAGAAGAAGAAAGAGATTGGATTTATACCCTGCCCTTCACTACCCAAAGGAGTATCAGAGCTGCTTATAATCCCTTTCCCTTCCCCTCCCCACAACAGACACCCGGTGAGGTAGGTGGGGCTGAGAGAGCTCTCTTGAGAACTGCCCTTGAGAGAACAGCTCTGAGAACTTGTGACTGACCCAAGGATACACCAGCAGCTGCATGTGGAGGAGTGGGGAATCACACCTGGTTCTCCCGGATTAGAGTCCTCACTCCTGCCTATCACACCAAACTGGCTCTCCGTGATTAGGGTCACCTTTGAGTCTAAAAGCAGCTGTGCAGAAGAAGGGAATTTGGATGAGGCTGTAGTGCACGGAAATGCACGTTTGACCCTTTTCTCCTGATCACATTTTCCACCACCCTTCCCCAAACTGCTGTTTCCTTTGCAGGGGCAAAAAGCAGACTCTTGGAAACCGGGAAAGGCCAAGGGTTAAAACCTGCCTCTCCTGGGACAATAGGCCCACTCTGAAGTTCTCCTGACCAAGCACCATCTGTGTTTAGAAGAAGAAGAAGAGATTGGATTTATACCCTGCCCTTCACTCGGGAGTCTCAGAGTGGCTTACAAACTCCTTGTCATCCAGCAGCTGCAAGTGGAGGAGTGGAGAATCAAACCCGGTTCTCCCAGAGCAGAGTCCACACGCTTAACCACTACACCAAACTGGCTTAAAAATAAATAACATAAAAGTTGCCTTATGCTGCATCAGACCATTGATCCATCAAGGTCAGGACGGTCTCCTCAGACGGGCAGCAGCTCTCCACAGGGTCTCAGGCAGAGGCCTTTCACGTCACCTGCTACCTGATCCTTTCCACTAGAGATGCAGGGGACCAAACCTGGGGCCCTGTGCATGCCAAGCAGAGGCTCTTCGGCTGAGCCACAGCCCCTCCCCAGACTCTAGCCCTGCATCTCCTGGGTCACAGAGAGCACAGGAAGGCTACCCTGAATTCCTTGGGAGGAAGGGCAGGATGAAAATAACATAAGACAACAAAGAAGGCGGTGGGGTTAATCCTTTTATTCAGCCAAACATTTTCTGCATGGCTCGTGCCAGTTTGGCGTCCCGCACCTTTATCCTCTCCATCACCCTTTCCAGCTCCCGCCGGGCCGCTCGGTTTCCGGGCTCCACTCGCAAAACGCCCTTCAGATCTTGAGCCGCCCCTTCCAGATCGTTCATGGCGTCGTAAGCTAAGCCACGCCGAAAGAGCGCCTTGGTGTTGGCCGGCTGCAGCGCCAGCGTCTTGGTACAGTTGCAAGCGGCGTTGGCCGGCTGGCGCAGCCTCAGCTGACAGGCGGCCAGGTTGGCGTGGAGCTCGGCTTTGATTTGGTCGTAGTCCGGGGGCGGGGCAGCTGCCACAAGCAGCCGCAGGGCCTTGGCGTAGCGCCTGGCTGCTGCGCCAATATCCCCGGCCCGGTAGAGCTCGCCGCCGTGCTCTTTGTTGCGGATGACCAAGTTCCATTTCTCACTGGCGCTCATCTCCCAGGAATCCTTGGCTGGCGTGAAGCTGGCCAACTGGATGATAATGATGCCTCCTCCCGTTAGCCTTAACTCTGCCCGTTCCCCAGCCAGCATGGTCTCCAGGCAGCGGTCCACCGCCCCATCCCATTCAGCGTCTCCTGCACCCAGCTCCACCTCAGCCCAGCTGTGGGATGGGTAACTCAGGGGGCCGCCTGGTTGAGCCTCAATGAAGACCTGGCACATGGAGCCTTCTTTTGGCTTATCCACACCTTTACCAGCCTCCAGGACCAGTTTGACAAACGTGCCGTCAGGGCAGACCCAAGGGACGCCCCCATCGGCTGATCTTAGTTGGTTAGAGGGAAGCCGGTTCTCTTTCATGGCTTCTCCTTGTACTTTCGACTCAGCCCCCTCTCTAACTCCGACTTGGTTGTTTTCTTCTCCACAGGCTGTTATCTGGCTCATGTTATTGTTCTTGGGCCTTCCTCCTGGACCTTGTCTCTCCTCACTTGCCATTATCTTCTCAACCAATCAGAAAATTCCTAGTCTAGCACTGTAATGCTCCCTTCTACCAGCAGGGGAAACAGCGAAATCCTGCTCGATACCTGCTGATGAAGAAGAAGAAATACAGCGTGGCACTGAAAACGATAAAGGATTATGCTCTGTTTCTCTTCCCCCCTCCCATCCTTAACCCACTGATGGGCCAGGGAAGCCCAGCGCACAAAGTGGAGGGTGCAAACTAAAATACCTTTTCTTCCAAATCCCGGGTTAGTCGTGGACTCGCTTTGTGGCCGTGGTGAATCGCATTCCTTCAGCCTCCGTTCCTCATCTGTAAAACAGGAAGGACAACAGCCTACCTAAGACAGTTGCATTGAAGACAGGCATGGCCGGTTTGCAAGACGATCTCTGGAGGACAAAGGTCGCACAATAGTCAGGTAACAACAAGAGGAGAGATTTTCAGAGATTTGGCTGGTTAGTTCACATTATGCCTCTCTGGACACCACGACCCAACAACCCTTCACAACTGCTTTGCTTCTCCCCTCATTTGGGGTTAACAGACCTCACCTGCCAAGGCCCCACAGTCTGTTACCAACATTCTATGGCTGTCAGTTTCTCCCTGAGCAGTTCACATCAGTACCATGGCACGACATCGTAACAGAGCTGCCTACAGGTTGGACAGAATTCACTCCATTTCCCCCTTAGTCTCTTGCATTGTAATAACCCACGGCTCCCTTCACACCAGACACATCAGGCTCCATGTAGAGCAGCATTCAAAATGGGCTCCCAAACTTCCAACTTCTATCAACCTCTCCTTCCAGGCGTGTTCATGTCTACTGCAATTACCTTTCCCAGAGAGCAGGCACACACTCCCAATCCAAACCCCCTGGTGCTGTGCCTGGGTCTGAAGTCTCACGTCCATTGTCAAAATGCGTATCCCTCCCACCCATCTTTCCCTCCTCTTACCCTTCTTGCTTGGTACAGTGTTGGATCGAGGAGTCAGCCCAGGAGAGAATATAATTCAGCTTCTGCCTCAGAAACACTCGTCTCTCGAGTCCCCTTCCACATTCCCCCCTTCTCCCCCCCCTCCAACATCGTCATTTCCTCGGCAACCACCTGTCCTAGCAACGGCTGGAAGCTGAAGCTATCTTTCGGGAGATGCTAAGATGGAGGCAGACAGAAAGGAGATACAATAGAAGGGGGAAACCCTCTCTGTTCAACAAGGTATTCCTCCTGTCGAAAAATTATGAGAGGGAAGATCCCCCTTTCGTTTCTAGTCACTCTCTTCCCCTCCGTCTTAGCACCTTGCTAGGTATGCCTGCAACTGAGGCTGAAACATAAGCTGAGGGTTTGCAAAACGTGAAGAGAACAGATAGCAACACTGAAGGAGTTAATTAAAGGTCGATGGGATTCCCCATCATTTCTTGACCTTAGAAAACAAAGGGCTACAGCGAATAGGAAACTGGCTGGCTTTTCTGAATGCAATATTTCTGGACCGACTGACAAAGACTACCAGAGCAAGAAATGGCTTAAAACTACTTTGATACGAGGAGTGACACAAGCACCTAGCACGGCATTCTCTAAGGCCAAGACCAAAGCCATACAACCTGGAAAATCTACAACAGCTAACATTCTCTACGGCTTGATCCAGAACTACGGTCAAGCGATCTAAGCCCAAGCCCCCAAAGCACCCGCTCCCCAACACTGTTAAACATCCGGGAATGTCTCTAAATTCTAAACTCTGCCACTACGGTGTGGAGGACGACAGGGCCACCTGCACGGAGTAAGGGGGGCTCTAGCCTCTCCAGGGACTCTCCAATGATGCAGAAAAAGATGACTTTGTAAATTAACCGGAAGGGAGGGGGAGGACTGAAACTGCTCAAATTCTACTGGAGCCACAAAACTAGTCCACACTCACTTAAAGGAAAAGTGGTGGCAATGACAGTGTGTGGGAGAATCCACCTGCTCGTGTCCTGGAGGGAGAGGCAAGAGAATCCCAGTGGGGAATATTTGATGGTGGGGCAGAACTGCCACACTGCATCCTCCACCCAACTGCCAACTCCAGACTGGGAAATTCCTGGGGATTTGGGAGTGGAGCCCAGCAGGGCATAATGCCATTCAGTCCACCATCCAAAGCCACCGTTTTCTCCCAGGGGATTGATCTCTGCAGTCTGGAGATCAGCTGTGATTCCAGGAGATCTCCATGCCCCACCTGGAGCCCCCCCCAGCTTGCATCAACAAATTCAGAACCCTTAAGGCTGTTGTAGATTTTCCAGGTTGTACGGCTGTGGTCTTGGCATTGTAGGACCTGATGTTTCACCAGTAGCTGTGACTGGCATCCTCAGAGGTATAACACAGAAAGATGGAGTCCTCTCTGTGTCACAGAGAGTACTCAGAGGTATAACACAGAAAGATGGAGTCCTCTCTATGTCACAGAGAGTACTCCATCTTTCTGTGTTATACCTCTGAGGATGCCAGTCGCAGCTACTGGCGAAACGTCAGGTCCTACAATGCCAAGACCACAGCCATACAACCTGGAAAATCTACAACAGCTAATGAACTCCGGCTGTGAAAGCCTTCGACAACATATTAAATTGAGAACCCTTAAGGCTGCTTGCTTTGGGGGCAACTATGGGGCTGGCACAGTTTACATTCACTTTTCCATCATGACAATACCCTGTTATTTTGTGGAGGGGCTTCTTTAGGTTTCAATCTGTCAACTGCCAAGTCAGGAAAATGGGTCCATTCCAACACAGATTTGCTGTCAGAAAATGGCAGTGTCCCCTAGGAACTGGTTGAGGCATCTCTCTTTTCCCGCCTAAGGTTCTGCTGGTAGGAGTTTGCCCAAGCAGCTTCCTAACTGCAGGTAATTTAAGGCCTGTATCATATAAGACCAGTTGAAAAGGGAATCTTTTGCAGAACCCCACATATAACAGAAGGATTTTTAAAAGGCTCCTGACAAATTTAATCAGACTAGGATGGGGGTCCCCACACAGAGACTTTGGGCCAACTACCTCTCACACTAATCTACCGCACAGGGTTGTTAGGATGATAAAATGGCATTAGGGGGAAAGTATGCCTGCCAGCAAGGAAACAGAGCTTCTTGGAGGAAGGTCAGATTAAAAGATCTATTAAATAAACAGGCCCTGCTCTCATAAATGGCTGCTAGTAGGACAACAACTCAGTAGGGTTGCCAAGTCCCCCAGCCAGTGGCAGGGGATGGGGGTAGGGTTGCAGATCCAGGTTGGAAAACTCCAAGAGATTTGGGGCTGGAGCCTGGGGAGGACAGGGACCTCAGTGGGCTACAAGGCCCTAGAGTCCACCCTCCAAAGCATCCATTTTCTCCAGGGGAAACTGATCTCTGTAGTCTGGAGATGGACTGTGATTCCAAAGCATCCCCAACCCCAAGTACCACCTGGAAGCTGGGATCCCTACAACTCAAAACAGCTTTGCACGTTAAAATGAGGAGATTTTGCCACAGATTCTTAACAGGGTGTGCTGAATTGTCTTATTTTTTAATTAGTAACGCAGCGCTAGCAATTACATGGAGTTTTACAATGCAATATAAATAAAACTGCAGCTTGCCCAATTAGAGCTTTGTAATCTTTGAAGTGTTCAGGAGCAGAGAAAGACTAAAAAGCGCATGATGGTCTCCTCAGAAATAAGCCCCACCAAATTCTAAGGGACTTTCATCCCTAGAAAGAGTTCTCTGTTACGATAGGCAATACTGAAAGATCACGCTGGTGCCCCAGAATCAAAGTTGAATGGGGGGGGAGTAGGTTGGGGTGAAGGGGGGATTATATTTGGGACTTTGAATTTACGACTCCCATATCCAGCTCTGCACTAAACAAGGTCTGACAGAAATACAGGTGGGTTTTCAAACACTTTAGTTTTCAACATGCCAGAATATTCTGGAATAGGCATCTTGGTACTATCAGCGTTCTTGTGCGCCTTGGCGTCTAGTCATGCCGGCCACATGACCACGGTAATGTCTTTGGACAGCGCTGGCTCTTCGGCTTGGAAACGGAGATGAGCACCGCATCCCTAGAGTCAGATTCGACTGGCTTTCAAGCAAGGGAAACTTTTACCTTTACTTACTATCAGCAAGCATACAATTTTTCTAAATTGTATGTAAGAAAAACGCTCCACCTGCCCCCGCCACAATGAAGCACGCCTGGCCCCTTCTCTTTTAATATTCAAAAGCATTTTGAGAAAGCTGAAAAAAAGAACTACTAGATGACAGTTTTGATTGTTGTAATTTTTGTGCGTGTGGCGGGTTATTGTAGTCAGGTCCTGTTTGATTTTTACCATGTTGCTGGCAAGCTATATTTTACTATTGCTGGTTTTAGTTACCGTAGTATTTTTTTATCCATAATCTTGTGGCTTCAGTGTTTTTTGTAAGCCACTGAGGAGGAAGAACATATATTCTAATTAAGCAATTTTTATCAGCTTTGGCAGAAAATTGTTGGACAAGAATAGGGAAAAGGCGGCAGCAAACAGGGAAGAAAAGACTGTGCCACAAAGCTACTCTTCTGTACTCGACTGGGTTCAGTGCAAATTAAAACACACCCGAGAAAAAGAAGCACAGACCAGAAAGGAGGTGCCTAGAAACGGTGTGATTTCAGTGTATTTTCCTTTAAAAAGAAAAAGCTGTTCTGGCAGTGAAACTGCACGGCTTGTGGACAGAACCTTCGGAAAGAAACTGAGTTATAGAACTACATCTCCCACAATACCTTTCTCCATCCTTCAAACCGGCCTCTGTTTTTCCCCCTAGCTCCTTTGGTGCAAGAAACAGAGCAGAGCTTCCTTGACGGCTGACGCCCCACTAAAACATGGTGTGACTTATAATAGGCGGTATGTAGGGGTTTTTTTTTACAAGAATTACTTAAACATCTATACCCCCCTCCTGCAGACAGAGGGCTCAGAATGAGTGTAAATACAGGTGATGGGATGCTAGGATTTCCTGGGTTCTCTTAGCATTTTGGGGGAAGAGAAGTGTCTATTGGGTTAAAGGAAAAAAACCGGGGTGGGGGGTGGGGAAGGCTTGTGAGGGAGGAAAGGAGACCAGGACGAAATGAGAGCTATGATCTACAGTACAGGGAAGCATGCATTTCCCGCATCTCCAGAAAAATGCATTCTCAAATATCATCTTTCTCATTCAGCCTGCCGCTATGTGGCTAGGAAAATAACAGCCTCCCTGCGCGGAGAGACTCTGGGGGAGCCCATATCCGTGTCCAAGAGTCGGGTCTGCCAACCTGGTGAGTCCTGCATTTCCTTCTGCCAGAAGATTAAAGTCTCCTTCCTTTCACAAACCAGCGAGGGGCCATTTCAGTCTCCCACCACCCACAGTGGTTGACCTAAAACCACCGTACTCTATAAGGAGAGCTTCAAAGGGGGACTCCAGCATGAATTTGCCGAGTTAGAATTCATCAAGACGTTTGACACCATTCCTCAAACACTTAACAAAAGACGTGGGATTCCTTAAGATTATAATTGTTAACTTAGCAAAAGTGGGGAGATTGTCAATAATTAATACAGGGAATGGTTCTCGATGCTTTGCAGAGTGTGATTGGATTTTACATAATCACATCACACCCCTCATTCATAGCCACACATATGGACAATCTACAGAGTCCCTTAGTGAAGGCTAGGGTTGCCAACTGGCCTGGAGAAAAGTATCCTGTCCTTTTAATAGAAGTGTATTATTGACCTCTGTGCCATGTAAAGCTTCAGGTGCCCATTTTGACATATTAAGCCTCTATAAAAGGGCTGGGGCATTTTTCTCTAGGCGTTAGCAACCCGAGCAGAGCTAGCAGTTTAAAAGCATATGTACCCTGGTTTGCCTATATGAACACCCTGGTTTGATCATCGATGCTTCAAGAAGCAAACAGAGACAGCAGACTAAGAAACAGAGCAGCCATTCCCCCCACCCTTTGCCTCTAAGAGCTGCATCGCAGGCAGAAACTCAAAACCGATAGCATTTCCCTGTTACAGTGGCCTGCAGCTATTAAATTTCCGTCTGTGATGGAGCTGTTACAGTACAGGTGTTTGGACAAAACACAGCACCCTGCTAAGGATAGCTCTTGCCTGAAAACTGGGAATTACATCAGATTACCATGAGCGGTTAGATGGACTTTCTGTCAAACACATGGAAAGAAAAATTCTTTATACCTTTTAAGCATCTTCTTCCAACAAAACCAGATTTCACTGTTCCAAGTTTTGCCTGCTCTAACCTGAAGGCATCCAATGAAACTGATGGGCAGTAGGCTCAGGACAGACAAAAGGAAATACTACTTTACACAGAGAGTGATTTAAAGTGAGGAATTCGCTGCCAGAGGTTGTAGTGATGGACACAGGCACAGACAGCTTTAAAAGGGGATCAGAGAGATTCATGGAGGATATCTGTGGCTACTAGCCATGTGACTGAGGGGAACCTCCACATTCAGAGGCACTACGCCTCTGAATCTTAGAGCCAGGAGTCAACATCAGGGGAAGTCCTTGGCCTCTATGCTCTGTTGTTGGCCATCCAGAGAAACTGGTTGGCCACTGTTTGAGACAGGATGCTGGACTAGATGGATCACTAGTCTGATCCATCAGGGTTCTTAACCCTTTTAGGCTCTCAAAATGCCCCAAAGCCTTGGCTCTAAGCCCTACAATCTACCTTCGTAACTCATTTTTCTTGGTTCCATATTGGGGATGGAGTATCTGGCTCTGTTCTAGAGTCTAGAATGATCATACCAACATAGCTTGTTGTCTCCTTTTCTTACAGGCAACCAAAACCCCACAACAGGCAGCCAAAACCACACAATAATGCCCCCACCTACACACTGCTCTGTGGACCAGAGGTGCCCCCCTCGATCTGCTTTAGAAGTTGAGGCCCGGAAGCCTCCTACATGATGGAACAAAATGGAGGACGGAAAGCAGCGAATGACGGTTCATTTGCCAACTCCTGGATAGGCAGGAACTGAGTGGACCTGAGAATCTGTCTGCCTCTCTCGCCTCCCCGTTTAACTCCGAAAATAAAATGCTTCCCTCCTACGTCCTCTTGCTGTAATCATTACGACAGCCTTGTGAAGTACATCAGCAGGGTTGTCTTTGTAAAGTGGTGGCGGGGAGGTGCTGAGAGACAAAGTCCTGCCTAAGGCCTAGAGTCACCATCCTCCAGGGGAGACCTGCAGTTCTCCCAGAATTACAACTGATCTCCAGGCAACACAGATCAGTTCCCCTGGAGAAAATGGCAGCTTCAGAGGGTGGAGTCTACGGAAACACGTCCCCCGCTCAGCTCCCTCCCCTCCCCTCCCCAGGCTTCACCCCAAATCTCCAGGATTTTCCCAAGGCAGAGCTGGCTACCCTGCCAAGGCCACCTCGCGAGTTCATGACAGAGGTTTGAACCGGAAACCGCCCAGATTGCAGTACGTTCACTCAGCGTGTGCTCTATCCCAGCTCCCAGAGTGGGAAAATACAGAATGTAGACTTCATTGTACGTCACTTTGAGTACCGAGCTGTCCAAAAGGCAACAGAAGGAGGAGATTGGATTTATACCCCGCCCTTTACTACCCGAAGGAGTCTCAGAGCGGCTTACAATCTCCTTTCCCTTCTTCTCCCCACAGCAGACACCCTATGACAGTGGTGGTGAACCTATGGCACGGGTGCCAGAGGTGGCACTCAGAGCCCTCTCTGTGGGCACGCGTGCCATCGCCTGAGCCAAGCCCAGACCATCATTAAAGTGTCGAATTCTCTGCCAAATAATTTTAAGTAAATGAAAGCATTTGGGATTGCTTTCCTTACTTTGTTTGGATCATCTTAAGTTAATGTATGAGTTGTTTTTTCTAAAGTAAAACCTCAGTATTCAGGTTAAATTGCCGTGTTGGCACTTTGCGATAAATAAGTGGGTTTTAGGTCGCAGTTTGGGCACTCGGTCTCTAAAAGGTTCACCATCACTGCCCTATGAGGTAGGTGGGGCTGAGAGAGCTCTCCTGAGAGCTGCTGGTGAGAGGACAGCTCTGAAAGAACTTGTAACTGACCCAAGGTCACACCAGCAGCTGCATGTGGAGAAGTGAGGAATCAAACCCGGTTCTCCCAGATTAGAGTCTACACCAAAATACCCATTTTCACAAAATTCAGCAGAAACTGTCAGCGCTCACAGTTTTGACTGTTAAGCTGTCGGTGGCTTTCCAACCATAAAGGGATGCTGTCTCAGAAGCAGGACTGTCCGGAAGGTTGCCACCTTTGTTTTCTAGCCTTGCTCTTATGCCACTGACAACAATTATATCACAGAGAAATGTAGTACCAGGAAATGATTTCAAATTAAGCTTTTCCTGTCATTTCTTTCTATACGAGGAGAATGTTTGCCTGTCCACCCCAGTTTTGCAGTCTTCTCTTAAAAGAGCCAGGAGCGGGGAACAGAAAACGTGGCAAAAACAAGATGTGGTACCAGCTCTCCTGGCAACACTCCCTTGCTTGACTGTACCACCCAGTTTACCGATTATTTACTTACACAATTTCCCATCCCACTCTCCGCCTGAAAAGGCTTCCAAAGAGACAGTAAAGGTGTTTCATCAGTAACTGACAATAAGGACAATAGCAGCAATAAATCACCAAAACCCAGCCAAAACATATTTTAAGAGGTTAAATCAGCATTTTAAAAAAATATACGGGGGGGGGGGGGGGGGGGAGGAAACAACCCCCAACAACAACCCAAAATGATGATTTGGTAGAGGAAGCTAATGACATCATCAACTGCTATGTCATATGCACAAGGGGTTGCGGCTGCTAGAGCTGCCAACAGTCCTGGAGAGAAATGTCTATTCCAATTAGAAAAATAATAGTCCCATTACTGGGAGTTTTCACCTCCCTCAAATGTTTATTGAGAAGATTTAGGAGAGACCGATTAAGATATTCTAAAAAACACATCATGAGGTTTGGGTTTTTTGCCATCAAGTCACAGCTTATTCATCGTGATCCCATAAGGTTTGCAAAGCAAGAGAGGTTCGGAGGCGGTTTGCCATTGCCTGCTTCATAATCCTAGTATTCCTCTGTGGTCTCCCATCCAAATAATGAACAGGGCCGAACCTGCTTACCTTCTGAGATCTGACAAGCCTGCCTCACGGAAACGAGCTGTTTTACTATGAAAAATATTTTGTGTCTCTTGACACACACAGACCTAGCAGGTGTGGATTTTTCATTTTTTGGATCAATGATACTCAAAGGGGAAATCTTCACTTCATAAATTATTGTGTGCCTGGCAACTGTTGCAATCCCAAGAAAAGAGCTCTTTTTTAAAAAAGCGATAACAAATTTAAAAAGTTTTCTTATTGACCTCTAAAAGGCTCTGGTAATTCCCCCATAGCTACTTTAATGGCTCCTTGGGTGTGGGTAATATCTGAACCAAGGCCTAGTTCAAGTTCTCTTTTGCAGAAGAGATGCGCCATAAAAAGACCAAAAAAGAAAGAAAAGAAAACCCACCTTCGAATAAAAAGAAGCTTCTGTATTTCTTTTTAAGGAGTCAAAAACCACAACTCCCACTGGCACGTGCGTGAAGCGCCTAAACAAGCATGCGCAACCCGTCTTGAGGAAACTGAATTCCCCCACACATGCGCCTTTCAGTCTCTGCGGTCCGTCCTACGCATGCGCTAAACGATTACTCACGCACCGCCTACATGGGCTTCGGACCGCTATTAAATGCATCAGCGGGCAACTACAGTTACGTTCCTTTGCACACGCGCATGTCGGCTCGACCCTTCCCAGCGGGCAACTACAGTTACGTTCCTTTGCGCACGCGCATTCCCGTTCTATGAGAATTCCAGTAAAATTGTGTTCCGCAAGGCGCCTGCGCACTGCGGTGTAGGTCTCGCTACCCGTGCGTGATTCTATCGTGTGCTATTGGCTCATTGAGTTCGACTCGGTACGCTTCCGTATCCTTTCCCTTTTGCTATTGGTGAACGGTCCGGCCGCAGCGTGCATTTTTTCCCCTCCGATTGGCTAGACCAGTGTAAGGGGTTGATTTCCATTGGGCGCCGGTGTTGCTATGGCAGCAGTGGGGGGTGGGTGTGAGGTAGCGGCTGTGTAGGATAGGAAAAGGGGGAAGGAAGATGGCGGCGCTGGCTTCGGAGCTGCTGCTTTTGAGCGACTCAAGCCGCTTCCGCGCGGATAACCTGCTCAGCAGCGAGGATTGGGGTAAGGGGAAACATAAAGGAAAGCGGTTTCCTATTGGTTGGGAAAGGGGGTGGGGGGCATTTCAGGGGGGTGGGAGGGGCCTGGGATGCTTGGGGGGGCTGTGTTGGAGGGGGGGCTTGGATGGAGAGTGGGAGGGGTGAAGAGTCAGGGTGACTCATTTGTCTGCCCTGTGCCTTCAGCAGATTCAAAATAGGTTTAGCAGGTGCGCCTGCCCCATCACGGCGTCTCTATGACTGGGCAGTGCTTTACCTGTTGAATATCTGACTCTTTGTTAAAGCTAAGGTGTCCCGAGCGGATTGGCATGGAGGAGGGAGCTGGTTGGGTGGGGGCAAAGCAGGGCTATGGCCTTATCAGATTGATCATCTAAGAAGGCAGGCGTGTAGGCTTACAGGTTGTAGGGGAGGGGGGGCAGTAGCAAGGAAAAAAGGCACACTTGGGCCCTGGTCACACAGCAAAGTTGCCAGGGGAGAGGCACGGATGGTGGGCGGATTATCCGGGCACGATCACACGCCAACATCTGGGAAGTGGAGCGCACCCGTGGCTTACCACCGACAATGCGCGTTAAAAAACTAGTACCTCCAAGGTACTAGTAAACGTTTGCCACAGGCTGCCTCCAGACGCCCATGGTGTGATCATGCCGGCGCGCGGCATTCCCCTCTGGTCCCTCGTTTACCCGCCGGCGAGGGAAGGACCCGTGGTGTGCCGCCAGTGCGTCTGATCGCGTAATCGCGGATCAAACTGCGCCGGGGCAATTAGCCACGCCTCCCCCCCGCGATATCCAGCCCGTGTGACCCCCGTAATTGCCCTCTTTGCCGGTCTACCCACAGACACGGGTCTCTACAGTTGTCTGGATGAAGACAGAGATGTGGCAGCAGAACTTTTCCCTTGTCTGGAGCGAAGTGTTGTGGATACTGAGGAAGACCATTGTATGGTGAGAGAGAGCCACCTTCACAGGTGTCCCAAGGAAAGGCATCCACTTGTCTCCCTCCCACTCACTTGCTCTGAAGCCCTTCCTTCTCTTACTTCCTTATCACCTTACACAAGTCCTAAATGTGGTTTTAACCAATTGCTCAACACCCCCCCACACACACCTGCCAGTTCATTTGCGTTTGTCACTAGAAGGTTGCATAAGTTTTGTGAGCTGTGCTTGCAACTGTGAGCACTGGATCTGAGTCCTTCAGTTCCTAGTAAGAGCATATCAATCCACCCTGCAGTGTCCATTTCTTTAGTTTGCATTCGTTAAACCCCATGTTTATTATTTGCACAAAAGGCCTACATTCACAAAATCAGCATTGCAATTAGATGGCCATCTAGCCTCTGTTTAAAAAGAAGGGGAGCCCACCACTTCCTGAGGAAGCCTGCTCCGCTGAGGAACTGCTCTAACCGTCAGGAAGTTAGATCATGAGAGGGAGGGCAGGAAGGGATGAACCAGTGCCAGTGCTCGGCTCTCGTGGCCCTTTCTTACATGCCCGGGATAATGCTGATCGCCATTTGGGGTCGGGAAGGAATTTAACTCTGGGCCAGAATGGTCAAGGATCCTGGAGGTTATTTGCCTTCTTCTGGACATAGAGCAGGAGTCACTGGGGGAATGGGGGTGGGAGGTAGTTGTGAATTTCCTGCATTGTGCAGGGGGTTGGACTAGATGACCCTTGAGATCCCTTCCAGATCCCTTGAAAGGCAAGACTGTCATGCCTCAGTAAACTAGAATCATGGGTTTAACGCAGTCTCCACGCTGTGCTGATCCTACCACTTCAAACCTGTTCAGCTCTGGTCTCATTGGCTTTATAGATATTACCTTGTTTCCCTAAGTCACTGCCGTATTTTCCTTTTGCTCACAGCCTCTACTGGCTTTTCTCTTGTCAGAATGGAAGCCCCCCCCCCCCATCACAGTCACACAAACATATAGCCAGTGTGGTGCAGGTGTCAGAATACTGGACTAGGACAGGAAGACCCAGGTGTGAATACCCATCTGCTGTGTAAACTTGCTGTGTAAACTTTGGGCCAGTCATACACTCTCAGCCATACCTACCTCCGTTAGTGTGAGCTAGCTCACAGTTTTTTAGCCTCCAGCTCACACATTTAAAAAAAAAAATTCATATATAAGACAAACAAAACAAACATACAAACATTAATACACATGAAGGGAATCTGTTTGCATTATTATTAATTAACCTAATTGTTGACCACATATAGTATCAAGAACATTCATTTCTTTTTGCTACCTTATATTTTCCATGCTTATAATTGAATGTGTAGTTTCTCATGTCCTTTAATTTCAGTTATGTGTCTGAGCAGGGCTTTTTTTGTAGAAAAAGCCCAGTGGGAACTCATTAGCATAATAGGCCACGCCCAACAGCAGAAACTCATTAGCATATTAGGCTCCACCCTGACAGCACAGCTCATTAGCATATTAGGATTTCTTTTTGCTACCTTATATTTTCCATGCTTATAATTGAATGTGTAGTTTCTCATGTCCTTTAATTTCAGTTATGTGTCTGAGCAGGGCTTTTTTTGTAGAAAAAGCCCAGTGGGAACTCATTAGCATAATAGGCCACGCCCAACAGCAGAAACTCATTAGCATATTAGGCTCCACCCTGACAGCACAGCTCATTAGCATATTAGGCCGCAACCCCCTGTTACTAGAAGTGTGGTCATCCAGCCACACCCACCTTTTGCTTCTTATTCTGTTTACCTTGTTTGTTGTCAAGACCCAGGGCTTTTTTTGTAGCAGGAACTCCTTTTCATGTTAGGCCACACACCCCTAATGTAGCCAATTTTAACGAGTTTCTGCTGTTGAGTGTGGTCTATTATGCTAATGAGTTCCTGCTGGGCGTGGCCACCTCGGGAGCCAGCCGGAACTCCTTTCCTGTGCGTTCCTGCCCAAAAATAGCCCTGTGTCTGAGAATTTTAAGTATTGTACTCTTCTATCCATTCATAAAATCTTGACCATGTGTCCTCAACATTTCTTGTGTTATATCCTCTCAAGATTACAGTTAGATTGTCCATCTCGGCTGTTTCCAATATTTTATTTATAATTTCTTCCTTTGAAGGGACTTCATTTCTTCTCCAATATTTGGCATATAATATTCTGGCCATTCTCACTACATGTCACATTTTTGTCTCAGCTCAGGAAAGATGGCTCCAGAGCGAACTGATTTATGCAGCAGGCAAATCACTGGCTCACAACTTTAATGCCAGTAGCTCACAAAGTAGAATTTTTGCTCACAAGACTCCACAGCTTAGAGGGAACATTGGTGGAGACCCCTAGCGGAATGGGATTTCACCACTCTTCTGTCCTGTTGCACCTCCTTCTCGTTTGATTCATTTTGGTTTATATACCCCTTCCTCTTTTCTGGGCCATAGCTCACCAATGGGTTTGACCTGGACATGGAAACGCTACCGCCGGACCCTCCGTGGGACCCCCTACATGACACCCTCTTTCCAGGTGAGCATTCTTTGGACTGTACTTGAATTGGATGCTGAGTAGACCTGCTTATGATGGTGAGGGTGGTTCTGATCCAGTAGGGCTTGACTTTCAGTCTGTTGGTGAATCTCTGCAGCATTCAGTCAGTGAATGTGGAGCTCCCTTGCCACAGGACTGTGCTTGTGGTCAGGCACCTTGTGTGTGGGGGCGTGCTGCTAATCATAAGACTGGCCTCGGTGGTTCGGATAATGCATCAAGGAAGTAGAAGGGATGGATCCGGTTCCCAGACCATGGGCAGGATGAAATTTACTTTGATATAAGCTGCAAGGAATGTATTAGTCTTGAGGGTGACAGTGAGCTTTTTTGTTCTGTTTGTTTTGCTTTGGTCAACTTAAGATGGCTGCCCAACTGTAAAAAAAAAAGTGGCCGTGACGTGGCATACATTTTTTACAAAAAACCCATGTGCAAAGCTAATAAGAACATAAGAGAAGCCAATGTTGGATCAGGCCAATGGCCCATCCAGTCCAACACTCTGCCACACATGGCCAAAAATACCAGGTGCCATCAGGAGGGCCATCAGTGGCGCAAGGACCCTGTTGCCCCCCCCCCCAGCACCAAGAATACAAAGCACCACTTGCCCCAGACTGAGAGTTCCTATCTATACCTTGTGGCTAATAGCCACTGATGGACCTCTGCTCCATATGCTTATCCAATTCCCTCTTGAAGTCGTCCTTGCTTATATCTGCCACCGCCTCCTGTGGCAGTGAATTCCATGTGTTAATCACAAATGCGTGCAAATCTTGCTTTACCCTCACGTTCGCATATCTCACAATGAGCCAGACAGCATTGGAATTATTGGGCAGTTTTGTGTGATTCTACTTAAGTGTCTAGGTGGATACAGTGATGTGACTGGAGCCATTGCCTGAGGGAGCTTAGTGGAGTGCAGAAGTTTTGTTTCTGTGATACCACTGCAGATGCTCTCAGCCAGGTTTCAGATGTCTTCTAAATCCTGTGCCAGATAACCTGAGCCAGATAACCAGATTTTCGGCTTGGATTCCACACAGCATTTCTGGATGTTGCAGTCATAAACTCCCTGTGGAATCCACCCCTCTGGTGTGCGGTTAGGAGAAAGCGGAACCA